GGGAGTATAGTCCAGCTTTTAACTAGAACAAAATTAAACACGGTTAAGAAAAAAAAAAAAAGCAAGCACTATGCTGCATTGTAGCAAAAGATCACAGAGCAATTGCACAATGCACAGGTTATGTGCACAATATCAGGGGTGTGGAAATTTAAAAAAAAAAAGAAAGAAAAAAAACTACTTATCCAGGGACTAAATTGGTGCCCCAAACTACTTGTCCCTCATGACAATCTATTTGTCAAGATAAAAAATACTTTTTTTTTAACCAAAACTTTATTTAAATCGGAGGTGATATTAGGAATGTCTGGGGCTTTTAAAAACAAAAGGGGCTTTATGGCGACTTAAATGTTTAAAATTTTTAACATTGCGCTGTTTATCTCCTCCTTCCCTCCCTGCCTCTCTCCAGCACCGCACCCGGGGACTAGCAGGGAGGGGAGATACCTTGCAGTGTAATGAGCACCCATTGGTTGCCCCTCAGGAAAGGGTGGGTCAGGGCTTATCCTTTATCTCTTTCGCTGCCCAAGCCGTTTTAGCATTTTTTGCACAAGTTTAAAAAATAAATTTAGGCCTGAAGAGTACATAAAAACCCCGAACATGATATATTTTCTGAAAGCAGAGACCCTAGAGAATAAAATAGTGGTAGTTCCACTTTTTTATGTCGCAAGATATTAACACAAAATTTCAGTAAAAAATACAATGTAAGTAAGTTAATTTTAGGGCACAAAAAAACTATAAATTACCCTTTGTTTTGTAAAATATAAAAGATGAACTTGCACCGAGTAAATAGATATCCAACTTACCAAAACTTAAATTTGTGAGCGCTCGTGAAATGGCAACGAACTTCAGTACCCTATATTTTTTATAGGTCTACACTTTTAAAGCTCCTTATAGGTCATCAGTTTAGCGTTACAGAGGAGGTCTGGTGCTAGAATTGTTGCTCTCATTCTGGCGTGCACAGCGATATGTGAAATTGACGTTTTCATGTGTAGGCGCCCCAGCGTGTGCTTTTACCTTTGTACGTGCGTATATGTGGGGGGGGCCTCAATTTTATTTTTTTTGGGGGGGGGGGGGGGGGGGGAGGGTATGTGCTGCTTCGGTGTAACCTTAATTTTTTACAGAAAGAAAAAAATGGTTTTTTTTTTCACTTTTCTTTTTTTCATTACATCCCCTATGTGATGTTTTTTTGGTGACAGGCTCTCTTTATTGAGGCATCCAGGGTCTAAAAGACCCTGTATGTCTACCCTGTGTTTCACTGGATGTAATGTGGTGCACATCGCACCACATTACATTCTCTCTCCCGACTTCCATGGCCGGGAATCTCTCAATGGGGACCTGGAAGTGGCATCATAACGTCACTTTCGGGTCAAGATAAGAAGAGTAGGAGAGTAGATGTGTGAGAGGCTGGCACTGTGTGGAAGCAGCGCTGCCACCCGAATGCTTCCACCTGACAGGTGAGCCCGCTGCTTGATCACAACAGGGCTAAAGGTAGAGAACAAAAAAAAAAAAAAAAACAACTTGCCCGGAGCTTGGAACTACATGTCCCGGGCGTCGGGCAATAGGAATCGAACATCCCTGCCATAATGTGTATGAACAGGCCTTTAGAATTGTGTATAAGAATTGTACAACCACAATTCATTACACTAAATAGGTGCTTGCAGTTGCAACACAACAGAGAAAAGAGGTAAACAGTCGCTATTTGGCTGAACAATCACACAAAACTACAAATGTTGAATTGGTCACAAAAAAAAAAACCTTAATACTAACACATGCAAAAAGCACATCAGTTGATTTGAGATACAGATGCACTAATAAATGTTTCTCAAAGTATTTCTCCTTCAAAAGAGGAAATATGCCTTCTCCCCAAATTAAAAATGATGGAAATATTACATTGTAATGCTGCATATACATACGGGAGAGCGCACTTGTAAAGACCGGTTTTGTCTTTCCAGTTAACAGTTTTAAGAGCAGAAAGGCAGACCTCTGAATAGACATAACGGATATGTCAGGCCCAAGCCTCCACCCCCTACTGGCAGAGGAAATACAAAAGATAGGAGGGGGCCACAATTACAGAAAACACAAAAACATTTCTCATACAAACATATACATACATACATACACACACACACACATATATATGCACCTTTAAAGCGCAACTCCATGCATATAGAAGATATAATTTATTTATTCATGTATTCCTTAAAAAAAAAAAAAAAAAAGTGACTCTACTGCTATAGTCCAATCTTCCAAATAAATGTCTCCCAGCAAAGACGACATGGAACACTCACCTTTCCTGCTGCCCACACACTGCCGATCTCTGCTGTAGTCAAGTCTTAGAACCTGCTGAAAATCCTGCAGAATCTGACATCTCAGATTCTGCTCATCCCCCACCCCCCAGAGCTTTGATACACTTACACCTACCGTACTAATGTGTCCTGTAGTGAGCTAGGAGCTGGTGTGAGAACCACATGGACCCAGTTTCTTTCAACACTGCTAAAGCACCTCCGGGGAGGGGGGTATGGTGATGCAGAATTCGGTTATGCTAAAATATGCTCTAGATAAACATTGTATGTTTACCAAACTAAAGCCACAATAAAAAAAAAAATCTGCACATTTGGTAAAATCTATTTCTCCCATGGCCCCAGAAAAAAAACATCTTTCATAAATCTATATAAATTCCCTATAGAAAATATCTTAATAACAAGCTAAGGAAATACCCATCCCTACCACCAGTCCCACTCAAAGTTAAAGAGACAACATTATGTCTTTATTAGTGTCCCTCAGGTAAATGTTAATCAAATCTGTAGGCTTTAACTCATATAGTTTAGAATATAAAGTATATGGTTATAGCAGAGATCAGTATCACAAATATACTTGTAAACTAAATAGGTCTTGGCAACTCATGCCAAGATCACAAAAGACTGGCTGAACTGTCATTTTTTGACAGGCAGGGCATGTTTATATAGTAATTAAAATTAAAAAAAAAAAAAAAAAACACATTTGTTCATCAATGTCAGCCGCTGACAAACACCAGTGGTTTGGTCCAGTAAATTACAAAACAAACATTCCTGAGCTACTGTGGCTGAGCTGGCTTTCAGGAAAAAAAAAGCCATCTTTAGTTAGCAATGATGATTTGGATACCATTAGCTTTAAGAAAATTACCTAAACCATATTAAATTTCATTATTGATTTTCCTATTACTATCTTATGCGGAAGGGCATTCCAGAGCTTAACCACTCACAAAGTAGAGAACCGCTTCCTACATAGTAAGATCTTCTTTCCTTCAAAGTGATGTTTCCTTGTCCTATATACAGTCATTTAGATAAAACCTTTTTTTTGCCAAACCTTCACATTAACCTTGGAAAAAAAAAAAATGCACAGAATGGCTTATTTGATGCTTCCCTCTCTCAATGCTTCCCTATAAGTCAGGTCAATAGACTAGAAGTCTACTGAGCTTATAAAATTGGCCTGCAATGAGCAAATTCACACAGCAGATTGCATTTTAAATCTTCCTTCCCCATTTTATTATTTATTACACAAGGGCATGTAAAGCAGTGAATCTGAAATCCACCAAAAAAATCTCTGCAGGTAAATCTTCCAGGGTGATGCGTTTAATGAGAGTAACTGATTAACCACCAGTCAATGTTCACTGGAAGTCACATTTACTGCTTTATAAATATGCCCCACAGCATTTGCCCTCGGAGGGGTTAAGTTGACGATACACTGATTGAAGTTTGGCTGGTCCAGCAAAGCCAACAGCCCTCAGTGTGTGGCCTTCCCCACTTATTAGAAGTTAATTAATCAACTTCTATGAAAAGGGACATGTTGGGAAGTTTTCCAACGATCAGTGGCTGCAGCTACCGATCAATATATTTCTGACACAGGTAGGAAGGAGAGAGTTTTCCCATACACCTTGCTTGTGTGGGTGGAAGAATCTGTTAGATCTTTTTTGTTCAGTCCACTGGCTGAACGAAATAAAAACGAACTGTTTATGGCCAAGCCTTAGCTCAAACGTCATGCAGCAAGAAAATCACAATCACCCTCCTGGCTGTGATATTTTTCACTCCCCCCCAGATTCCATATACAACTGGAATAGGGCCTTTCTGTTTCAGGTCAGCAGACTTGGGTGAAACCAAGGTCACGGTTTTGAAAATGCTTATTAAAAATGTTATAATGAAGCGATTAGTCTTGTTTTACACACTGTATCCTCCATAGAATAGAATTGATATTTGCTGAGTAAAAGGCTCAGTTTAGGCTCTAAAACACCTCTCCGGTAAATTCTGCTGTACCCACTGCTCCCATTACTCTGCATAAAAACAAGCAGAAGTCAAAACTTAAATACCTTTTTTTCCTTGAATTTTTATGTGGTTACATGCCCTCAAAGCCATTGTTGCTATGTGTGATGTGCAGGCCCAACAACATGGCGTAATTCCCTAGAGGACACAGAAATCACGAACAGGCGTACGATGCTCTAGGTGTTAAGAGGGGGATGGAGTCTCCTCCTACCAGCCATACATCACGCAGAAGGGCTGGTGCTTTGTTAAGCTAAATTAAAAAAAAAAAAAAAAAAAAATCACAATTTGTGCTTAACTGTATGCAGAGCGATGGCAGGACAGTAAGGGTGGCAGCATTTAAAAGGCAGGTTTTCTCTAGCCTTAACATCTGCTTTAAAGGATGAGTTTACCTTTGGAACATGTTATATGTTACACATATATTTAGGGTGTAATATGTTCCAACACTCGTAGTTTTTCCATTCACAGATCTCTGTGAATGGAAAAACTACAAGTACCATCTTCCACCGCGGCAGACCACTTGTAGTTCTCGATGGACTACGCATGTGCTGCGATCCACTGATCACGGGTGCAATGCTTTGCAGGGAAAAATAATAAATGCAAATTTTCTGAAAAAATAAAAACTACTTACTTTTCCCTTAAAGGTGAACTTAGTCTTTAAGGTTTTACAACTATTTTAAATTAGCTAGATGAAAACAAATATTTAAATCTCACCTCTACAGTAATCCATAAGTATAAGCACCTCCCAAACATCTCCACTGCTCACAGAATTAATACTGGAATCTATGTACCCGACGATGTTCTTGTGCCCAGAGAGATCCCTCTGCAAGAAAAACACAATACAGCAATTTATGAACTGAGAACATTTTCATTAAAACCTAGGCAAGTATCAAAATAAAGTTGACTGTTCAATGGACAGCCTTTCATTAATCCAATAACGTCCCCTTCCAAATGACCTCTGTGCTTACTTACTGGTCATGATTTCTTCAAAATGCACATATATTTTCTGTTATAATACAGTATGCGCAGTAAAGGGAAACAGCTCTTTTCTTAGATAAACATGACTTGAACGCTAAAGCTTTTTCCTGATCTTTTAAGAGATTGCTGACTGATGCAGCATAGTCTTCACGAATATTTCTTAGTTACCTATGAACTATGCCATTAACAGAAGCAATGTTAAAATCTTTGCACAGCCTATGTATACCTGTAGGAACTGGAAAAAAAAATACATTAATTAGTTACCTAAATGCGAGCCAGCCAAAATATCTATTAATTTTTAACCATTGCACGGCAGTTCTTTCCTTAGTTAAGCTGGCCATAGATGGATTGAAATTCAGCCAGTTCAGCGGTGACCAGCCAAACTTCGATCCATCTATGCCCGTTCCTGTTCAACAATCAATCGAACGATCAATCTCTGTCAAATGGGACTTTTGGAAATCTTTCGTTTGACCAGGGGCTGCAGTGCTGATCAGTGTAACCTGATACTGGAGGAGTCCCTGCTGTCAGAATTCAATAAAACAGCGGGAAGGATTCCTCCATCTACCTGAGTTTTTGTGGACGGGAACATTTTTTTTTCAAACAGTTCATTGGCTGATCAAAAGAAGAAAAAAAAATCCTCTATGGTCAGCTTTAGAGGAGCAATATACAACATCAACTCATATTGTGTGATCACTTATGAAAATGCTACTGCTACTTGCTTGACTGTCTAATGCAGGCCATAGACGGGTCGAAAATCGGCCGATTTTTTGGCCAGGAAAAAAAAAAAAAATTGGCTGATTTTCGCAGTTCGTGTGTTAATTGGTCGGCCATTTTTCAGGATGTTGGCACTTTTTTTCGATTGGTGAAGTTGAAAAAAAAATCGTGCTATTTTGCCGATCGGCCGATTTTCCCGGCAATGATGGGCAAATCAGACGATCTTTTTTACTGATAAAAAAAAAAACTCTGCGCATGAGAGGAGGAAGAGGAAGAGGAGGGAGGAGGAAAAATAAGAAGAAAAATAAGAAGAGGAAAAAGAAGAAGAAGAGGAAAAAGAAGAAGAAAGAGGAAAAAGAAGAAGAAGAAGAGGAAAAAGAAGAAGAAGAGGAAAAAGAAGAAGAAGAGAAAAGAGAAAAAGAAAGAAGCAGAGGAAAAAGAAGAAGAAGAGGAAAAAGAAGAAGAAGAGGAAAAAGAAAAAGAAGAGGAAAAAGAAGAAGAAGAGGAAAAAGAAGAGGAAAAAGAAGAGGAAAAAGAATTCCAGTCCGCTATTATATTTCACATGAAAAAGTATTGCGGTTGCAACAATGTATCTATTTGTATCCGAATAAAACCATCTGTATCCGAAATGGATACATTGTTGCAACGGCAATACTTTTCATGTCAAATATAATAGCAGAGCTCTCTGCAGGGACAGAAATGATTAAATGCCAGCGTAGACGGGACGAAAATCGGCCGATTTTTTTTACTGTTTTTTTTTTTTTTTTTTTTTTAAATGACCGGTTTTCGACCCGTCTATGGCCTGCAATACTTCTACTTGAATACTTCCTGCTTGTTATGGATCTGAAGACAAACAGTGCTAGTCAATTGGCAAATTGAGAAGGAGGCCAGCATTTGCCAGTGCCATATTCCTTTGACAGGTGTACATGAAAGCATGGTGAAGGTCTTTGTTTTGGATGGTGTGCCCTTCATGGGCAGCATGGCCCTGTAATTTCTTGTTATTCTTTGGCCGCCATCTGTCTTTGTGGAAGCTGGGGAAAGCACTAGGGCTGCAGGTAGTGAAAACCTGAAACTAAACAGGTCTGTACAAAAAAAAAAAAATCACCAACATTTAAACAAGGCATCTGAATGGAGAAACATGTCTAAAATCAGTAGATTGAGTGGTAGATATAGGCAGGCGAAATGATTATACAACAGTCAACTTTTTCCAGTGAAAATATAGCAAATCCCCTACACCAATCCCTAGTTAATCTTAAATAGGTGGAGATCTACCTGAACAACATGGGAGAAGTCAAAGATCACCAAGCACAGTGTCGCATCCTCACACCTGATTTAAACGTCTAATTGCTGTACTATTGTGTCTCAATCAAGTGCACGACAATCATGTGTTTAAATCAGGTGGTGAGGAGGCAACATATCGCCCCCTCACCATCTGCCAAACAAACGGAGATCGCTTTTCAAAAGGAGCAGCAGTGCCTGCTGCACTTGTGAATAAGCCTTTAGTTGCATTTGTGGTTGATTAGTTGCTTTACCAGCCCCATTCCCTACCCCCCCACAATTAGCTGCTGCGGCAGCAGCCAAACGGTGTACATATGCGGCAGCAGGAATTAAGCCCCCTGTTGCCTTTGGTGGGTGCTACCACCTGCCAATCGCAACCCATTCAATTAATGGGGTCACTCTGCAAGCGCACCATAATTTCATGCTACTGTGGGGTCCAAGGAGATAAACCAGCTGGTGAGAAAGCAACACAATGCTGCCTGCTTCAATCCTTTGTTTGCTGTACTGCACAAGGGCACTTGCACAGCAGCCTCATTCACTTGAATGGGTCATGCTTGGCAGGTGCTACACCCAACAGCCATGACAGGGCATATAACTCCTGCTGCGGCATATGTACACCCCTGGTGACTGCAGCTAAAGGGTGTGCAGCTGGGGTGGTAAAAACATTTCTTAACCAGAACTAGAGAGGAGGCATCAGCTTATCTCGCTCTTGCTCCCTACTACAGCGCCAACTTTACAAGCAGTCACTCTGCACTGCACTCTGTTCAATGCCCTCGAATGGCAGGTCATCAAGCCCATACTGCAATCTACCAGTCACTAGGCTGTGATCTACGGATTTCTGATCCCCGCCCTACACCAACCTCTCCTATCTAGTCCAATAATGTGATGGGCAGAGTCACTGATATATTGAGGGGGGGGGGGGGGGTGAAGCTTGACTCTTGATTTCTCATAGAGGAAATCATGGTCTGCATGTAGCTTCAGATACCTATATCTTTATATCTAATGATCTCTGGAACATGTGGTTTGCACTGGAGGTGACCTCTGAATTTACATTTTCCAATGATGTCTTAGTCTCCACTGCTCAGAGTTGTGACATGCATAGCTTATCATCACAATGCATCCCTGTATTTAGAAAGCAATGTTACGCCTTTTTGCATGGAGTCAGACGGTTAGCTGGATCAGTAACTGCAGCGATGACAGGGTTACACATCATAGATGGGTTGTATAGTACCAGAGATGTTCTAGGGCATCAAGAAAGGTAATTACCATGATTTGTATCTCCCGCTTGCAAACCTGGAGGTCATGTTCATTATTCACATACATGCGTTTCAGAGCACGCCGCATCCCATTGCTGGTGCGAACCAGGAAGACCAGGGCAAAACCGCCTGCAGATGAAAAGCAAAAGTCAGTCCGAGACAATGTCACAATAACACAACCCTGCAATCTGCAATGTACAGGATACGTTAATGAAGCTTCTATGCAGCCTTCCTCAGGCCATTGCATTTATTAGAGGCCTGCAATGTTTCTCTATCACCTGGGGCTGATTTCATTCTGGAATGGATGGGGGAAGTGGGAACGATGTTGTTTAGATTCACTACGCTCCAAAAGTTATTTTTAAAACCAAGAATACATCTTGATAGGGTGTGGACAAAAAGATTAAAAAAACAGATGAAAATGTGTAACACTGATATGCAGCAGAAGCATATTAATAATGATTATTATTATAAAAGTATTATTAAAAATGCTTAATATTATACACTCACCGGCCTCTATTAGGTTCACCTGTTCAATTGCTTGGTAACACAAACTGCTAATCAGCCAATCACATGGCAGCAACTCAATGCATTTAGGCATCTAGACGTGGTGAAGACGACTTGAAGTTAAAACCGAGCAACAGAATGAGAAAAAGGGGGTTTTACATGACTTTGAACGCGGAATGGTTGTTGGTGCCAGATGGGCTATTGGGAGAATTTCAAGAACTGCTGATCTACTGGGATTTTCAAGCACAACTGTCTCCGGGGTTTACAGAGAATAGTCCGAAAAAGAGAAAATATCCAGTGAGCGGCAGTTGTGTGGATGAAAATCCTTGTTAATGTCACAGGAGAATGGGCAGACTGGGTAAAGATGATAGAACAACAGTAACCCAAATAACCACTTGTTATAACCAAGGTATGCAGAATACCATCTCTGAACGCACAACCAGTTGAATCTTGAAGCAAACAGGCTACAGCAGCAGAAGACCACGCCGAGTGCCACTCCTGTCAGCTAACAGGAAATGAAGACTACAATTCACACAGGTGCACCAAAATTGGACAATAGAAGATTGGAAGAACATTGCCTGGCCTGAGTCTTAATTTTAGCTGTGCCATTCAGATGGTAGAATCAGAATTTGGCATAAACAACATGAAAACATGGATCCATTCTGCCTTATGTCAATGGTTTAGGCTGGTGGTGGTGTAATGGTGTGGGGGATATTTTCTTGGCATCTTCTAATGCTACTTCCAGCAGGATAATGCACCATGTCACAAACCTCAAATCATCTCAAACTAGTTTCTTGAGCATGACAATGAGTTCACTGTACTCCAATGGCCTCCACAGTCACCAGATCTCAAGTCATAGAGCACCTTTTTGATGTGGTGGAATGGGAGATTCACATCATGGATGTGCAGCTGACAAATCTGCAGCAACTGCGTGATGCTATCACGTCAATATGGACCAAAATCCTCAGAGGAATGTTTCCAACACCTTGTTGAATCTATGTCACAATGAATTAAGGCACTTCTGAAGGCAAAAGGGGGTCCAACCCAGTACTAGCAAGGTGTACCTAATAAAGTGGCCGGAGAGTGTATAAATACCAGTTTTACTTATGACTAAGCTGGACATACACTGCTTCATAGGAATCTACATTGACTACATATCCCACCATGACAAACCCACAGCATGGTATCTCAGCACATCACAGATATCCAGACTCAACATATTTGGTTGTAAGTCCTTGCTACAAAAGGAAAAATTATAATAAATGGACCATACATATAAACGTGTCTGAGAAGGGGCATTGGATCGATTCTATTTTACTCTCCCAGTGCAATACTGGAATGTGAAAGGGGCAACCTAACTGGCTGCTATAAGATCGAGAGCTTTTTTCCTTCAGATTATCATAAGTAGTTCTGCACAGAGCAGCCCTGATCCTCCTCTCCTCAGGTCCCCCACCGACGCTTCTGGCCCCTCCCTCCTGCCTAGTGCCCCACAGCAAGCATCCAAGCCACTGCTATGCATGTCCATTCATACACAGAGCTGCAGCTATGCTCCGCTCCCTCCACCCCCGCCAATGACTCCCACTGCTGTCTCAGCCAATGAGAAGGAAGAGTCCCTGGAGAGCCGAGGCTCTCATGCACATTGCTGAATTGCAATGAGGCTCAGGTAAGTTTTAGGGAGGGCTGCTGCACAGAGAAGGTTTTATACTTTACTGCAGGAAATTCATGAACAAAAAAAAAAAAAACCTTACGCCTTTACGAGCACTTTAGGAATGTTGTTGTTAGTGGGGTGGGAAGTGTTTCTGTCAGTCTTGTGTATATTTGAAAATCAGAACAATATTCTATTAAAAAAGGGGAGCTATACTGAGAAATGAGGATGCATTGTAAATTGGCAGGTTAAGTGAGGAACAATGAATGTCTCGTTAGAATGGCATCTGAAAGTCAGTGGGGCAGCAAGTGAACATGTTGTCCATGAAGCTGTTCTATTGAAAGCAGAAAAAAAAACGGGCATCGCAGTTTGTTGTGTATGGGGTTGCGTAGCAGCAGACCGGTCAGGATGCCCATGCTGAGCTGTATCCACAGCCAAAAGGGACTACAATGAGCATTTGAGCATCAGAACCGGGTCATGGAGCAATGGAAGAAGGTGGCCTGGTCTGATGAAATCACATTGTCTTTTACATCTTGTGGATAGCCAAGTGTGTGCATATCATTTACTCAGAGAGAGTGCGAGGATGCAGTATGGGAAGAAGGCAAGCCGGCAGCAGCAGTGTGATGCTTTGGGCAATGTTCTGCTGGGAAACCTTGGATCCTACAATTTATGAGGCTGTTACTTGACTTGTACTACCTACCTAAACATGGTGGAAACAGTATTCCCTGATGGCAGCTGCCTCTTTTTAGCAGGATAATGTGCCTTTCCACACTGCAAAAATGGTTCAAGAATGGTGTGAAGAACACATGTTTGAGGTGTTGACTCGGCCTCCAGATCTCAATCCTCCAAGCATCTGTTGAATTTTCTGTAAAAACAAGTCTGATCCATGGAAGCCCGACCCCGCAACTTACAAGATATAAAAGCATCTGCTATTGATGGCTCAGTGCCAAATACCATGACATACCTTCAGAGGTCTAGTGGTATTCATGCTTCAATGGGGCAAGACTGTTTTGGTGGTTTTAGCTGATCGTTGAATACAACCCCTAACATTGCACCAGTACACCACCTTTAGAACTAAGGCCTCATTCACACTTGCAAGTAGTCCATTTGCAATTAGATGTTAATGACGGAGAGGGGATTCCCTGCTTTTAGCTGCAGATGGGAAGCCCAATTAAAAGCAATGGGAGGCAGAGAGTTCCCGCAGCTGTTTTTGACCGTACGCTGCTGAAGAGACTACCTGTGACTGGCCACAAATCTGTCAGCCACCCTTTGCTTTAAATGGGCCTTCCTGTCTGCAGGTAAGCACATGGAACCTCTGCTGGGTCTCCCACATCTAATCACAAATGGACCCATTTGCAAGTGTGAAGCTACTAGTTACACATTTGATCAATCAAAAGATCCCTCTACCCACATTAGGCGGCTGCTTGAATACCCAAACAGTAACTGCATCTGATATTCGACCATTAATTTTCCACCTAGGTCTTTTGATTTTTTTTTTTTTTATCAAGTTTTGTCAAGCTAGGTTGTGCTAACAAGGCCACCCACAGCTCAAATTTTCTACTGAATTGGCAGAAATTAAAACCACATATGGTGAGCTTAAGGGCTCGTTCACACTTGACTTATTTTTAACTCTTGTCAAACGCCCCTATAGCGTTTAACAGGCGGTAGACAGGTGTTTGGGAAGCATTTTTAATGCTCCTCAAATGCTCCCCAAATGCCCTATGCATGGTTTTGAGGCGTTTGCCAAGCGTTAAAACTGCACCACAAATGCCTATAATGAAGGTAAATGGTATTAACGCTCCGCAAATTGCTCGCCTGCCAGGCGTTTGAGGAAGGGCACCATAGACTTGAATGGGAGGCTTCAACTCCTAACTAGACATGAGGCGTCAGTTTTGCCACGATGCTACCCTTCAGTGTGAACAGCACTGTGTGCTGCCATGTGCAGAATTTTCATAGGCGTTTGAGAAGCATTAAAAACGCTTCCCAAACGCCCGACGCCTGCTAACAAAGTTAGTGTGAACGTAGCCTAATAATCTATTGGAGAGAGAAAAGCGCTAGAGTAGGAGAGGATCTGGTAATGAGTGATGTGGCACAGTCTGGCTTTGGGAGTTTGTACTACTTGCCATAAAGCTTGCCGATTGTCTTGTAGCATATTGGGGAAAAGTCCTATACGTAGCATTTTGCATGCATTGTCCATAGTGGTCCTATTCAAGTCATGTGGTAAGGAACCTTCAAAATTGCAATACAACGCATCCGACAAAAGTGATGATATGAATAGAATATGCTCAGTGAAAAAAAAAGAGACAATGATTTGCAAAGTACAGGTGCCCATAAAAGTCAACAATTTCATTCCACTGCAGTAAGATCTTTAAATGGTGAACTGAAATCAGTTGCTACACATTGCAGTTTCCAATATATCACATACTATAGGCCTGAAGAAGTAGAGGTTTCCTTCCCATGATGAGCCCTCGAGATGCGTTTTTTTTTTTTTTTTTTTTTTTTTTTTTTATTTTGTAGGCAGCACTGTAAACCAAGGACTGAAATCGGACTAGCTGTTATGTACTTGTAAACAATCATATATAAGTGGAAACTCTTGCCATAAAAATCTGCTGTGAGCTGCAGAATCTGCATTTTGCAGGGTAGAAGTGACACAGCGTGACTCAGAGGACATGTTTGTGTTACTAGTGAACCGACAATTATGGCGACGCTTACTCATTATGGACAGACGGGAAAAAAAAGAAAACACAACGATATCTAGCAGTTAAAAAAACCTAACGATTTGGAATGGGATGCTCTCTGCAACATGTGTGTAAAGTATCATTAATTCTGGACACATTTCACACAAAAAATGACCACTTTCACCACTGGCACTGAAAATACAATGTGTGTGGATCGCAACTGTGTGAACCAACTCAATAGTAACACATTATGTAGTCTGTCATGCAAATCTGAGTTTTAAAACACATGCAAAATCATGTATGCGTGA